AAAAAAAAAAAAAAAAAAAAAAAAAAAAAAAAAAAAAATTACCTAAGCCTGTCTGAATAGAAAAGCATTGCTTTTAAATTGTCGGAACACCCAATGTATTTACATAAAGATGAAAAACTTGTTCTATAAACACAGTGTTTCCAGTAGTGAATGGCAGACAAAATCAGAATAAGCACACAGAAGAATAAAAAGGAAGAGGAAAGAAAAACATAATAAATAACCTAATACCTTACAATGTTAGCTTTCACATAAGTATATTGTTTCTGGAGAAGGCAGTAGGTGGATGTGAGCCAAGGACTGAAGTGATAGGTAAACACACTGCTAAGTTGAATCCTGTTATCTGATTGTGTTTAAAATTTGATTACATTTCGCTTGACAAAATAATTAATTATTGTTAACTCCCAATTGTTAACAAGGACCTAGAAGAATTCCAATTGGCATTTTTCCCTCGTGTTGTGAATCCAAATGCATTAAAAATCAAGCTTTGTATACCTTCTTTACAAATGTCATTTTGGGGCATCTTCTTACCTTGCTAAGAATGTAAATCACATCACCACGCTTAAATGACAACTCATCAGAAAAAGCTCCAGTGCAATCCCACAAACCCTGGTAAAAATTAGCATAATCAGTGCTTTTATCCCCTAGGAAAAAGAAAGAGAAAGCATGAGTTAGGGCATTCATGTAATAACCCCTCATTTCAAAATAAACCAACAGAAATTAAACAATGTCCTAGATCACCAAAATAATCTAAAAAAACTCTGTCCTGAGTAAATGAGTATTTTATTACATCCACATGACTCCTATTTCTCAATATCCTCTTAAGGCAGCTTTCAAAAAGATCTGATTTTGAATCTCTGCTTTTCTTTTTCTGCCTTTCATCTAAAACCTGTAACTGCTATATGCTGTCATCAAACCAGCACCTAAAGATTGCTTCCCACTTATTTTAAAGAACAAATCTGAGCCCACTTGCAACATGTTTTGAAGTTATGTCTACCACACTTCACAATGAGCAATATCCATGAGATGTAACACACACTTTGTGAAATAACCATCTCATAGAACTTGGGACACTCCATGAAAATAATAACAGTATTCTCCTAAGAAATGCTAACGACACTGAGATTTTATGGAGTTAATGTACAAATATAAAACCAAAACTAAGGAACCAAAATTAAAAAAAAACTAAACCCTAGAGCTGGTTAATGGACGAGGACAACGTGGAAATGATATAGAGAGTAGTTGCAGCAGTTTTCCTTAGTGACATTTGTACCCAAAGCCGCTCAAAGTTATCTTTGAAATTTTTTAGCAACTTTGAAATTGCCAGTGTTGAAGCTGCATTTTTCAACAGATTTTTGTCAGCCCCAGTTTAGGACATTAGGCTCTGAATAAACATGCAACGTACACTGGAGTATCAGCTCATCCTTCTAACAGCATAAGCACAATGGATGTGATGTGCTCAAACTGCCATATAGACCATTAACTGATTGATTATTTAGTACTTTCCACTCTGTAATACCACAATAAATAGGTAATAAATACTTTGTCACTTATACAGTGTGGATCTCCTGAAACACAGAACACAGTTAAACGCACTGACGCTTTTGTTACACGAAGAACTGTTTCCTGTTTTTAATTTCATGATAATTGAGTTTTGATGAGTTAACACAAAAAGAATTCAAGTAATATCAATAAGATGTCCATGTAGTCACTAGCTATGCAGAATATATATGTGCTGACAACTTATATCACTGGAATGTCATCTTTGAATTCGGAGGGGATAACTGTTGAGACACATGCTGGTCCAGGGTTGTCATCTCAGTATTGTCACATGGCTCTCAAACAGCAGGCTTTTTTTTATGATTCCAACAGTTAGTCACATTAGCACATCATTAGGGTGTTCATCTTATTACACACAGTTTGTGATTTATACAAAGTGTTAGTTTACTAGAAAATTTAAAAATTCTCTTTAATATATAAAATATTTTAAAGCCAAAAAAGAATCTAAATAATTTGGAGTCTGAATATTTAGGAAATGGAATGCTGCTTTTCACTTACAAGAAAATAAAGATGGATTAGAAGACGTACAACCTAGCAAAATCCCTCTATTAAATTTTTGTCTCTTGTTTTCTAAGAATGAGGGACAATGGGAGTGGGGACGGAAGGAGGAACAGAAAGGAGGAAGCAGTGGGACAGACAGATATTTTACTGACTTTTCCATACTTGCATTTGAGCATTCATCACTGATACCAGCAGGGATGTACACAAGCTTGGGAACCAACCAAGTACTAACAATGCTTGTGGCCACTATATTGCATTTTTCCCCCAAAGCATATATTAAGTAAATTCTAAAAATGGACACTAGAGGGCACTCCAGCTGGTCAGACCACTTCAAACATTGTCCATTTTTTAAAAAGGAAAAAAAAAAAATCACTTAATAATAAAGTGACTGATTTCCTTTAAAAACCACTTATTTAGACAAATAGAGATTTAGAAGTTGAAACATTCTAGTCAGATTAAATCAACTGGTAAATGGGTCAAATGTTGTGCCCCTTGCAGTCTGTCAGTGTCAGTTTAAAAGTCAGGGAATTAGAGCAAAGAGAGGATGACATCATTTCACATGCAAGGTCTTCCCCCACAGTAACTGGCTAGGAGGTAAAAGGATCTAAATGGCTGGTTTCTTTACTCTGTCTTCCCCATGCTGCTCAGCTTTAGGCTTGCTCCAAAAAGGTAGAAGAAACAAAACTTGGCTAAAAACTAGAGTAGAGGTTGTGGCTTAGCTATGTTGTCCCAGTGGGTTCCCCAGCTGTCCAGGCTGCCGCTCTTCCTTTTCTCAGATTCTCTTACAATAGTTTTTCATTTGATAGATTCTCAAAGGGGAGGGGAGAGAAAGAAGGAAAAGAAAAGTATATGGTGATTTCTAACACATAATCCTTATCACTTTGGGGTCTCTCTTCCCCTCGATACGCTTGGTGAAACTCCCATTAACACTAATGGGAGTTACAAGAGCACATGAGGGGAAGAGAGACCCCCACCGTGTGCAAGATGCATCTCTCCCTAGATGTGCATCATGAGCATTTCATTAAATCTCACTGCTGTAAAGAGGCAACAGAGCTAGCGATTTGGCAATACTGGGAAAAAGATGCATTTTCAACTGTGCTTTCTATAATCTAGATGATGATGTTATCCAAAGATCAACCTCATTTTTGTGTCCCATATGACAACTCTGTTAAAGAATAATTTGTTTATGTCACACAGCTACATACATATAAGATTTACTAGTCTATCTATTTCAGTATGCAATACTAGTTATAAAGCAGAAAAATTATAAGTAGGGGAAAAAACCCTGGCAATAGATGTTTATTAGCCTTAGTCTCCTCAGGGAAGTAATGTTTGAATTCTTGATATGAAATCTGGACACAAAACTCAGGAACGATCTTGTTCCTTAGAGAGCAGCAATCTCCTCTAGCTTACTTGTAAAAATTTAAAGTGTAGCTAAACATACACAAAAAAATAGCATAGACAGCCTCAAAAGCACAGTAGGTTTGCAAAAGTTAACACTGTTCACCCCTAAACACTGAAAAATAATCCATTTGAGATACGTTTTTTTAAAAAATGGGATGAGGCAAATGTCATAAACATACATTTTAAAGCACAAATTATGTTTAGTTGTCTTTACTACATGGATTAATTTTCCTATTGTATCCACATCATGATCTATAGTTTCAAAATTACCAAAAAAAAAAAAAACACCTTATGTTTCTTGTCACGAGAGGCATGAATGATTAAGAAAGTGAGAAGGAAAAAAAATACATTAGCCAGCCGGTGAAAGATTTAAACAATGTTCTTACTCCTGCTTTTAAAAACATACAAGAGGAGATCATTGGACAAAGCTAACAGAATTGTTATGAAACATAGATACTCTGCAAAGATGAAAAACATGACGACAGGTGAAACATATGAGAATAAGATAGTGGAGAATATCTTCCTTGGTGTTACAAGGTTTAAAAGCTATTTTAGAGAAGTAAGCAAATTCTATAATGTTCAAAAAATCAAATGGAATCTTTATTTTATATATGTGGGGGGTGTGTGTGTGTGTATATGACACACACAGTCACTCGCATATCTGCAAGATATATAAGTTTGAAAATGAAGAAACTTGTAAGAAACACAAGATTAATTTTGTTTTTGCTTACATATTTTACATTAGAAAAGTCTGTGTGTGGGGAGCGTTTAGTAAAATCAGTCAATGTGAAAAATATATAACATTCTTGAGTAAGGTTAGAAGTTCATGTCATGTGATGCTCAGCAAGATAGTAATACCCTTGTCAACTCACCGCCCTGCGTGGCAAGCAAACTTCTAGTGTTACATCTTTGACAGCCTAGGGAAGAGCAAAGGTCACTACTATGCAAAAGCATTAAAACTGTTGCTTGAAAAGAATTTCATGTCACTAAAGATAAGAATTATTGTAGTGCTTATATAGCTATTGCATGAAAGCCTAGATCTATTTACTGCATTCCTTTGAGGAAAACTGATTTTTTTTTCCTACCCTCAAAGGCAAAAATTTGTGAGATGTTTACTTTTAAAGAGTTTTTGAAAAATACAATTGCTTTAAGCCAAAATATTTATATCTGTGGAAGGACCACCTGTATGTATCTACCTTCTATACCTGCACTGAAATTTTTTTAAAAAGAAAACTACATGCTTTTGGCAGAAGCTTCATGATATATAACCCATAACATATACACTTAAATTATTATTGAACAGAGTCCTCAAAGTTTCGCTAAGCCTCAGTGTTTTATAGTTGCATTTTATAGGACTAGAGTGCTAACATGTAATGATTTTGTTCTTGCTTCCTTTCTAAAAAAAACACTAACCAAAACCTTTTGTAGCAACCTACTTCTGCTTTCCTGTCCAGGTCTAGAATCAGGCCTCTGTTTCCTTTCCACATGTCACAGTAGGAAGGACTCTGGAAAGCCACTTCCTGAACATACACTTCTTGTCCACCCACCCTTGACAGCTTGAAAGAGTGATGTATGGACATATCAGAGAGGGGAAGGTGACCCTAACTCTAGCTTTTTGCAAGACACAGAGATGATATGGCAGACCTTGCCCCAGCTGACATGTGGCTATGAAGAGGTGTAAAGTCCTGATAAGAAGGCAGTCTTTTTCTTCTTTCCGTGTAAAATAATTGCTGGTTTATCAAAACTAACCTCATGCTTGCACTACAGATATGGTTTATCTCCTGCTATTTGGAAATAACAACAAGCAAGAAAAGTTGTCCATATCATGTGATTTTGCACAGAGCGTGTGCAGTTATTTTTCCAGTCTCATTCATAATTAGTACTTGGGGCTATGTGCCAAGTGGAAATGGATAAGGGGAACATCCTTCCTAGCCTTTTAGGCCACCAGTGTCCTTTTCCAATTTTTAAGCTGCTGTCACTGGACTCTGGCATTTCTTACCCAATTCATTTGCTTGCTGTGTTAATCATATGCAATGAAGATATGCATGGCCAACATTTAAACAGGCTGCAGATCAATTAGCAGTCTTAAGTTTATCTGATTTTTATCAAAGAAGACAGAGCTGTGGGTCGATTGTCAGAGCCTGTGTCAAGTTGACCTTTTCAGAGACGTCTACATTGCCAGTCCCCTGGGCAACTTGTTGTCCCCTGTTAGTCTCTGAATGGCAGAAGTCTGTTCTGCTCAAGCACAAAGTATACACAGATGTCTATATTACATTCTTATAGGTTTGACAGCAACTGCATGTTGTATCTATAAACTGTCCTTTAGCAGTGACACTTCCTCAATGATGATAAGCTAATTTATGCAACTAAATCTCCTTTGTGCAGAAATGAAAGCTAATTGAGTCATTACAAAGTAATTCAGGAAGGAATACCTTGTATAAATTGGCTTACTTTATAAATCCTTCTCAAGTGGTTTTCATGCATCCTAAATGGGACTAAGCAGCTTATCAGCCATAAGATATCCAGGCCAAACAAGCCAACTTTGGGGAGCTGTGTAAATGTCTTCAGAACAGTAAGCACGTGGATAAAATGTAAGTGAACAAAAGCACAATAAGGTTTGCCAGGAAGCTACACAATTCATTACCTGAGGTGTGATGAACACTGTCCTGACTCATCTTCCTTTGTTCTTCCACTTTCACAGGAGCACTGCTGTCTTCTTCTTCTTCTGTAAACAAACATTATCAATGGCACACTGAAGGGTTTTCTCAGGGAAAACAATACAGTACTCACTCCATTTTAAAAGCAAAACTAAAAGTTTATAACACAAACATTATTTTTCAAAGAATAAAACAACTCAAGATTCACATTCCTTTTTCAACAATCTAACACTGAAAAAAGAAAATACCAGCTACTTCCAAATAGCAGCCTTTCAAAATGGCTTGGCAAAATTTAAGATATGTACTAATGCACTGCTTGTTTTGTTTTAAATACTTTTAGAAACTCATCTGGAATGATCTTCATTTCAGTAAAGCCCTAAATCCAGTAAAGTAACACCGAGCATTATACTGATGCACCACATTATATTGTGTGGCAGGAGTATCATATATAAAATCATGGTCCCTAAAACATCATATAGCAAGGAGAAAATGTGTGATTAAAAATGCAGTTAACCTATAAATCATTTATTGAGTATCATATAATTTCATATGTTTTCTCACTTAATCTTCACAGGATACTATAAGGATCCTCATCCTTCAAGGTAATTCCCCCAAAATTATACTGAGGACCTATTATGTATCATATACAATGCTGGATATTAAAATCTCATAGACAAACAATTTTTAATTCTCATTCTACAGACCAGCATATTTTCAGAGACTCAAAAAGGTGAAGTGACTTCCAATGTGTGTCATTCAAACTTAGGTTTGTGATTATAAAGTCAATGTTCTTTATCCTACATATAACCAGTGCTTTATTTACTTCTGTTTCACATTCATCTATCCCATTCCTTCCCCAGATTGTGGAAAGAAATAAGATAAAATTAAATGAGAAGAGTTTTAAATAGACTTAATAAACTAACTCTTTTACACCAAGAAAAATATTTATTATGTTATTTTTTTCTCACCTAATGATTTACATACAAACCTAGAAATACTTAAGGCAGGACAAATAAACAAATGGCATGCCAAAGAAAAACTGGGTTCAAAAAGAATCATAATTCCAAGAAAACTCCTAAGCTTTAAAGAAAAATATGCAAAATAAATAAATGTAGCCATGGTAACTATTCAATCAATCAATCAATCAATCTTCATTGGATATTAACTAACTGTGAGACAGAGGGGATCTACCAAGGAGGTAAAAGTAACAGGAAGCCTCTGCTCACAGGAAGCCAACAGCACATATGGGACGGAAGACAAGATCTAAAGGAAAACAGGCTGAAGGGCCCTAAACCTGATAGGTGAGGCACAAAGTAATGAAGAAGCATAGCAGAGAAATCACCCAACTAGGGAGTACCATGGAGGCTCCAAGGGATGTAGAGAATTTAAATAAGGAGAGAGTGTCAGAAGGATATTTCCAGAGTGATAGGTATGAACTTTTAAAGAAAAAGGTACAGTCACGTTCATTTTGACTAAAGAATCTGCTACACGTAGGCAAAGAGCCAGTTAGGAGTTATGCCCATAGTTTAGACCAGCTGTTGAGGGGCGATGAACATCTTGTTATGGACTTCAGGCTTTTATTTGGTGGGCAATAAGAGCCTTAGAAGGTTTTTGAGCAGAGAAAGAGTAAGACTGAAGCTATCTTCAGGAATGGACATCTGATCCCATTGTCTCAGATAACCTAAAGAAGGGGAAGGAAGTCCTGAACTGAAGGGGAAAAGGCAATGGAAAGGAGATGCTTATGAGAGGTAAAGAAACTAGAATGGATAAGCTTTGTGCTTGACTGAATGTGGAGGAATGAGGGGGGGGGAAGAGCAACAAAGGATGGCTAAAGTTTTGAGCTTAGTTGAGAAATGGCATATTACTACTAAAAGGAGGATGGCCAAGATAACCTGTCTTACCAGGGAACACAAGGAGTTGTGCTTTCAACATGAGGGATTTAATGTATTGGTGGGGCAACCCAGAGAACAGGTCCAGGGGCAACTGCAAAGTATGGTAGAGCAGTCAGGACTGCAGGTGGAAATTTAGGGGTCTCCTGAAAATTTTAAATGGGGATGAATCAAAATCGGCATGTCAATCAAGCTTGAAGGTAGTGGTACTTATGTGATGAATAGAACTGTTATGAATTTTTGTAACTCAATTCAAACAAAATAATGATAGCTCCAATATAAGGGACACCTGAAAATATCTGGTACTTTATTAATATTGTTAAACCCAACACTGACAACATGGTTCAGTCAAATAAATAGAAGACCTAATGAAAGTATACTACACTTTTAAAAAGTATCCTGTCTCTTTTCTTTTTAACAATTGTTATCTCACATATGCCAAACTTCGAGGACTAGCTTTAATAAATGGGTTAATACAGTGTTTCCATAGAAATTTTTAAAGGTATAAGGGGCATTTACAGTCATTTATTCTAACCTCATTTTATTGACAGATAATTTTGTAAAAGGTGAAGGAGAAAGCTTTCCTTACTTTTCACATTTGCTTTCTGTAGCACCCACTCCTCTTTTAATTTAGTCACAAATTCAATAGTAAGAAGTAAATTAAAAAATGGTTAAAAGCACTTTTCCTCAGTCAAAAGCTATAACCGTGTCAATGCAGTAAGAACTATTCCAGACTTTAAAGAGACTGCAGGAGCCGGGTGTACTGGCTCATATGCCTGTAATCCCAGCACTTTGGAAGTCCAAGGCAGGTGGATCACCTGAGGTCAGGAGTTCGAAACATGCATGGCCAATATGGCGAAACCTCATCACTACTAAAAATACAAAAATTAGCTGGGCATGGTGGCAGGCCCTTGAAATTCCAGCTACTCAGAAGGCTGAGGCAGGAGAATTGCTTGAACCTGAGAGGTGGAGGTTGCAGTGAGCCAAGATCGCGCCACTGCACTCCAGCCTCAGCGACAAGAATGAAACTCCATCTCAAAAATAAAAAAAGAGACTGTGGGATTTAGATTTCACCACCCAAATTAGCATCAAGATAAAAAAATTGATTACAGTAATTAATGAAAAAATGCTGCTCTTTGGCAAACTTAACAATGAATTTAGAAGTATTTGTCTATGATTTTTTAATTTTATTAAAATTTAAGTGTCAGTAATGTGTGCTCTGAATTGTATATTGGTGTCAGCTTTGTCCTTAGAAATATGTATTCTTAAATTATAAGAATAATGGTATTAAAGAATTTACTTATCAATGTTTAATATCCAAATTGAAATCCATGTGAGATGATATTTAATACGCAGACTTTAGAGGATGAGATGCTCATTAAGGACACTTCCTTTTTCCATTTTAAGCCTGGTAATGATACTTTTAAATCAAAGCCTTATGCATTTCTTATATCAATTTTTCTTAATATTTTAACAACTCATTTTATCAACTCATTTTATCTTGGACTAGCAATACAAACAGCTTTCATATAAAAGATAACAAAATCAAATATTGTGTATGTTTTTGAATCTTGGGCAGGAAAAACCCTCAGACTGAACCTTGAATGGAACTTGGCACAAAGGAGATGTTCAATAAATACAGAGTGAACAAATGGATTAAAAAATCATAAAAATAAATCTTAACAAAGCTCTCCAAAAATACATGTAAGAACAAGTGACCAAAACTTTAGGCAATAATCACCTTCACAATATATTAGAAATATATACATTCACATGTTTTTTATTTAGATTTATTATTAAATATGTATTTTAGTGTTGAGGCACAATCATTGCACAATACTAATTAATATCTCAAAGAGCCAGTGTTTGTGAGTTAATACACTCCATTCAACATTTTAATAACAGTAAACAAAAACAGCTCAGCTATGCAGTAAAATCCATCAAACCACACAGATGGTTATAAGGTTTTCATTATGTGGTTTCCATAGCAATCATATTGCAAATCTGGAAGCTTCTTGCAAATAAGCAGCTTGTATTTACATGCCTCTCAGCTGCAGCACAAAACTCTTCAGTGTGTGAAGTTATTATTCCAATCACACATTGTTAGAAGAATCATCAGGAGATTTTTTATCAGACAGGATAAAAATAACAATAAAGTGAGCTAAGTGCAGAAGAAAATTCAAACATAGTCACACATTTACTAAACTGATCAGTGAGAACAGTAGAAATGTTCTGGCAGTCATCAAAAGGTTTTAACAATAAACCCTGTCAAAAATATGAAATTTTCAGGAGCAATCAGAATTAAAAAAATAAACATAAACTGCACCCACACCTCTTTTTAATAGATATTTGGCCTTCCCTCTGCGTTGAGCAAAGAGAGGAAGAGTTTGAGTCTCCCCAAATATTTTTAGCATTTGAGGAAATGCTTAATGGGGGAAAAGTCATGGCCCTTTTTTTCCCCCTTTTAATCAATTTAATTTACAAATTGATCCAGTTCCATAACAGATGGATTATTACCCTAATAAGGATTACAAATCTGTCTAGCTATGCAGTTTTTACAAAAGGGGTATTTATGGCTTACTAATGTTCTTATCTTTAGGATAAATAACCAAAAAGAAGAGTGATTAGCAATTAGCTGACACTGCTTATAAAAAAGGCTGGGGACAATTTGTTAGCACCAACTCAAGGTTGTTCACATCAAGGCTAAGGACTGATTTTATCATCTCTTCCAGGGAGAAGAGGAAGATTATATATAAAAAAACCTTTGACTTACATAATGATTACCTTTCTCACTAAACACCCTCAGAAAACAGCTTTACTGAATTATAATGTATTTTAAAACATAAAACACAGTTAAGCTCTGAAATAAAGTTTGGATTTAGATCTCCACTTGCCCAGGCATTATTTATGTATTACATATTTTTTCTCAGGAAAAGTGAATATTTATTGCTTAAATGTCTACATACGCACTTATATCCATTATGTAATTAAATCCTCCAACAATTCTATGATGCAATAATAAGTACTTCTATCATCGCCATTTTATGAATATGAAAAATGAATTTATGGAGCTTGAACAACTTGGCAAGGTTCACACATCCATTTAGTACATAAGCTGGGATTTTAACTTTAGGCATATGCCTTAACTCTAAGTCATCATGTCTCTTCCTTAATTTTCA